ACATCTGTGTTTGTAGTTCGACAATTTTGCTTAACGCCCTTCTCCAAGATGCTGATGGCAATGGAAGCCGCATCAAACACACATTTAAAACAGACCCACATTCCTCTATAATCTCCAATTCACTGTGGAATATTAACCACCTGGGCTAGTTCCAAAAGAAAGCATGCCACGGTACATTCCCAATAAAAATGTGCTTAACTTTGCTTGTATCCAATTAACAAATGCAACACAAACTTCATATCCATCTGCCTTCAACTGGGATTTATTGCTCACAGTGGTTAGGACTCCTCTGCACTGATTAGCCACACTGCTGCCCAGCTAATAGATTCCATCATTCTAGTTGTATAGGGATAACACCAAGTCAACATCAATGAATCAAATGCTGTCAAAGATATGTGACGTCTCTATCTAATCACCATGAGGAGCTGCTGTGGAGCTGTTCCAATGCATCTGTTCTCTCGCTGCCTACTTCTAAGGCAAAGTCATTGCGTCTCTGGTTTTTGTTGGTCATTAACAAGTATTCATGTTTGATCAGCGTTAATAAAAAAGTAATAAGTGCAGGCTTTGGCCCCTCGTTGGATGTCAGATATATTGTCTTGGGAATAGTTGGGAAATTTGGGGGGGATGAGTTCATGCGGGAAGATCTGTGGAGCTCTGTGGGCCCCCTCCTTCTTTGCCTCATCCGACGTTTTTGATCTAAACCTCGTGAAGAACAGACAACTCGCACCAGACCCTCCTCCCCTAAAAACTGCCCTATAGGTCGTCTGTGCGAACAGTTTTTTACGACCCATGTTTATGATTATTGTTAGGCGGCGACCTCTACTGGCTATAATAATTATGATCATTTGAAGTAGAATAAAGAAACCAAAAGATATTGCAGAGATATTTTGAATCACATACGTGGTTACGTGGTTAAATATCACGTTATGTTACATATTTACAAAACAAACTTAAAGGCCAGTGTGTAGGATTCAGGGAGATATATCGGCAGAAATGGAACATGAGATTCGTAACTTTGTTTTAACCAAAAAATAAAAATTGTTGTGTTTTTTGTTACCAAACAATTAGCCACTTGTATCTCCATACAGAGCAGGCCCTCTACCACTGAGTTGCCATGGTGTGTCTAGAGTAGCCCAGAACGGACAAATCAAACAGTGGCTCTAGATAGGGACATTTGTCTTTTTGCATTTTCACATCAGCCACTGTAGTTCCCCAATACACTTGGCACACTGGAGAAGTTTCTGTTTGTTGCAGTGTTGCAACCTCACCACTAGATGCCACTAAATCCTACACACATGAATTTTAAGTCATTTAACAAATTAACTTATTTCAACCCAAACCATAATCTTTTCTTAAACTTCACCAAGTAACTTTGTTGCCTAAACCTAACCAAACCGCAACTGTGTCACAATGTTAACCACGTGTTGAAAACTGCGACCATTTCACAACAATTAATAGCGCCTGTTGCTGGTACTCCCCAGCAGTCATATATGTTGTTGTGGGAGTCATTGGTAAACGACTTATTCTCTCGTTTAGGTATGAGAACGTGTTGACTCCCACGGATAGAGGTGGAATAGAAGGCAGGGTGAAGACAGCACGTGACAGTGACATCATGATGACCTTGATGACCCAGGGAGGTAGAGTTAGGGGAAGCCAAGGCTCCTGTGGGTGTGGTGGTTACTTTAGGCCCTGGGGATCCCTGATCTGGCTCCTTGGGAAGCCTCCCAGCCTCGCAGACGGGGAGAGAGAGGGAAGCTGCCCAGCAATGACAGATGGGGAGACAAACGGCTTGTGGAATTCCATTAGCTGTGAAACTCACAGTGAGGGTGGGGTTGCCAGCACAATTATACAGAGTCATGCCAGCACTACAGTATGGGTCAGACTCAGGCCACAGCAAACGGCCTTCAGTTGGCTTGTTGAACCTCAGATCGCTTTACTGATAGAGATTTATCCGTAAGTCCTCGCCAGAGGTGCACAAACCACACTATGCTGGCTGAAGGATAAACTTCTCCTCAGTTTCCGTGAGCTTCTTATGGGACCTGCGCAACCAAACTGATTGGAGCAAACAGCTTAACTTTACTCAACAAGTCACTTCTTGTCTCTCATACAGTCTTTTACATTTTGACCACCTCTGTCAGATCTCATCAGATTCTCTATCAGAAAGGACATTCCTAGATTATATTAGTTTTAAATTCTAACAAAAGCGCACTATGCAATGTTTTTTCTTCATGCCACCTCATCATCAGAACCAGAGGGATGGAGCTGACTGCAGCCTCTACTGGTTGATCTGGATCTCATTATGACCCAGGAATCCTCAGCATGTGACTTTTAAAGACTCTGGCTCCTGAAGGCTTCGGCTCCCACTGAGATGGGATGCACTGGCATTTATGCCCTACATAACGTCAGACCTCCATCACATACAAACAGACACACATTACACACACAGGCATAATCTCATCCCTTATTGCCACAGCAGTGACATAAAGTCCTTGGAGTGTAATAATAAATAATTCCCAGCTATATAATGTCGTCAGTTGTGCTGAAATGTGTATACATTTACAGACATAAAACAACCAGACACAGCACATCATGAGTCTGTATTTGAATAAGTGCCCTGACACACCAAGCCAACATTCGGCCGTTGAGGGGCATCTGCTGCCCTAGTTTTTGCAGTGTATCCTGCACCACTGCCACTAGTCGGGCCTTGTCTGCTGTTTATACACCGATTCAGCATTTGAATCGGTGTTGGAGATGGCGGAGCCCATCAGTGAGTGAGTGACATAACTCTAATTGGCAGTTCAGTGCAGAAGAGGAGAAACAGAAGTGAGCAAAGCAAGCAAACAGCTTCAGTGAAGAGGGTGCGAGATTATATTGTTAGCCTTTGAGCTCTTTAGCAGAAATGGTTTGTAATTGTTTGTGTTATTTTTCAGTTGTGCACAGTAAATATAATTTGTTCTTTCAACATCAGCTAGCATCTAGAATCTGTCCTGTCGGTCTCACAATTTCCCTTTTTGAATGATGAATACAAACTACCACCGCCTGCTGGTATGGAGAGTTATTTCCTCTCACACAGGTGCAGAACGTATGTGCTAGTTGGCCGTAGGCTGCAGTCTTTGCGTTGTGTTCAAGTGCAACTTTCTGACCAAGACATAGGCATGGGGCGATGCAACAGTCGGCCTTCATCACCACTAGTTCTTGGACAAAGCACTGTGCTGATTAGTCACTACATCAATGAGGCTGATACAAGTATGGTAACAGTGATGTGGGGGCAGAATGGGCCCACAATAGGATAATAGGGATACCTGAAGTAAATCTAGCAAGGCTTACTAAAACAGAACTGTATGTCGCCATCATAATGTGGTCATGTTGGCATCATCTATAAAAGTAATAAAGAAAATGAAGTAGCAATGCTCCCTCTCAGTCAACAGTGCATTCTGTAACCAGCTATAAACTGACCAATGGTAGCATTACACCCCTAAATACAAACTGGGCTTTCATGACATCATTACCACATACTCAACAAGAGACACAGGAGACTCTTATAACACTATATGGCTTTTCCCCACGCTGCAAGCCGACAACTGACCCATTCACTCTGAAATAAAAAGGACAGCATCGTTTTTCAGGGGCTGTTGTCTCCAGGTGATATATCATTCCTGTCTAAGAAAGCATACGTCGTGGCCAGTAAGGGAGGAATGCAGCTGAAACATCTAGCCAAGTGTCTAAACTGAGAACAATAACACTCTGGAGGAATTCAAAGCATTTCTCTTATTAAAGCTCCCTCCAAGACTTCTGGGACATACTTCATGACTTCATTTTGACTTAATTTTTCCTCTGTTTCATTCTCTATCCTGTCTTCCCTGTCTGCGTGTGACCTGGGACCCCTGGCTTACAGTACGGTGCCCCCCAAAACAACCACAAAAATGAGCAAATGGGGTATTCATTCTGTTTCTCCCCGAAACTTCAAAGGAGACAGCAGAGGAAAACATCTGGGAGCCAAAAGAGATCGTGCCGGGGACTTAGGAATCTGGCATGCCGAGGGAGATAGAGAGCGGGAGCGAAAGGAATGGATCGGCATCTATGATAGATGGAGACAGTGAGGGATGATGTCTGCTTCTGATTAAGGTCCCGTCAGACATTAAACAGGGTATGAGGCCTTTGACAGCCAACTGACATCTGCGGGCACGGCCATAATATGACTCTATGTGAGAATGCAAGGAAATGTCCCCATGTGCCACCAAAGCTGCTTCCCATGAGGCTCTTAATAGCGAGTCCTGCACGAGCGCAACAGGACCTAATCACACCCCTCAAAATGACACGCAGAGCTGTCAGGCCGAGTAAAAGTCTCCATCTACAGTGAAGGGTGTCACCACCCACCCTGCCTGCCGGCGTGCAACCGCCCTCCTGCTGTTTCCCGAAACCTACCGCAGCTCTGGTTGGGAAGCAGCCGAACTGCGGCTGTTCATTTCCTCACTCTTTCAAGGCCACGTTGGCTCAATCTGCCCGCAGGCTGGGTGGCACTCCTGCCAGGCTCTCATCTTGGTGCTAAATGTGTTTTCATTTGCTTCCCAGTTTTGACTTTTATGCAAGCGAAAACAGCTTCATTTTTACAACTGAGTGCATGGCCGAGTCACACAGCCGCCTCTGAGGATTCTAATGAAGGCTGCTGTGCGCTAATCCTCATCAGTCATCAGCATTGTTTAGGCCTGTGATAAATGCTGTAAAAATCCACCAAGCACAAACAACTGCTGCTTAGGAATATAACAGGCATCACTGACTAAACACCTTAATATACAGCAGAACCCAGCTGCATCGTGTTGTTTTGAACTGATGTGAATAACAGCATAAGAAAAGCGAGAGCTCAACATACCAAAAGCACAACAGAAAATAATACCAACAGATTTAGACCAGATTAGAAATAGATTAGATTTAAGAATGTAATGGAACAGAGCGGAACAAAAAATTGCTCAGATCTGATGGCTTGAGTCAGGAGGGCTTACCTGGTTTGGTCGGACACTTTTGGCACTTGTTGAGACCCCAGGAGGCGCCCACGCTTCCACAGCAATCATCCTGTTTGGTTAGGCCTGGCAGGGGCTTGCCACACTACAACAACACACATCTGCGTCAAATCTATGAAACGAGTTCTGAGAACGGAGTGTTACATGTTTGTGCATGCGTGCTTGTTTGTGATATGTGTGTGTGTTGGCTAAGGCAGGATTTGTAAGTGTGTTTGTGTCAGAATGTGCGTGTATACCTATCTGCAAGGACAGAGTGAACCAGACACATCTGAGACTGGTTAGTAGGAGGAGCACATAAGCAGTGAGTCTGAAGAACAACTATGAACCTCCTGGCATGCCTTATTAAGGCACTTGGCTAATTGTGAAGAGAGATTGATATCAGGCCATACTTATTGGATTTTTGGCCAATAGAGAATTATGAAACTAAAGAGGCAACAGAGAGGACATTCATCTGGAGAACACCAAACTGGCATACTGGCAGGAGAAGAGGGAAAACTACCGGCAAAAACTTTTGTACGTTCCTTCTCTGGGGTAGTTCTTTTGGGGTTCTGAAAAATCAATGTGACTAGAGGGTTTAATTTCAAGCTCTCTGTGAAACCAGAGTAGAGAAAATAGGAACTGCAAATCAGCACAAACAAACTTGTTCAAGGAATATTGCTGGCAAAAACAACTCAACTGCAGATTTTTGTGTTGTTGCAACTGCAAACATAAACGCTAAGAGTCAATCACAACACCTTATCACAGCCAAGAAAACATATGCTGTATTAAGACTCAGATTACCCAAACTCACGCACTGCCATTTAAGCACTTCCCTTTCCTAACTTCTTTTTCCCTTTGATGCATGTCTGTTGTGACATACGTACATTACCCCGACCATGCAGAGGACAGTAAATCTGCAGTGCGTGCCATATTGTATGCATGATACTGTACACACTATGAAAGTCTTCCCATTACAGGACCACATGGGCTGGATTTCTAAGCTTAACCTTTATGCTCTGAATGCATCCTTACACATGACAACTTATGTTGGGAAACTGGTGGAACCTGAGATGACCAGTGTGGTCAGGGCTCATAAATCCTGGACATGATATAAATCATAGCCACAGGCCCACTTCCTGTTTGAGACAGCAGCAATCAGAGAGGGTGACGGAAGGAGAACATAATGGTATCTGTGGTAAAACAACACCTTCACTCACTGGTGTCAACACCTACGATGGGCTAGGATACACCAGGTGGCTTACATTAGCTAGTAGAGGTGGGGGACTTGAGCCACATGAGTTGCAAATTTGAAGACTTGAGACTTGCTTGACTAACACTGATAAAAGACTTGACTTAGGTTCGACTTGTAGTGATGACTTAAGACTTGACTTAGACTTAGAAATGATTCGAGAGGACTGGATATTTCTAGATATTGAGAAGTTGCGTTTTGTTTTGATTGGGTGATTCCTAGTGGAATGTGCGGAAACCTGGCAACCTACTAGGACGCAGCAGACAAGCAGAGGCCAACTCATGAGGCTGCTATCATGGAGGGGACTAGTGAAAAAAATAATAAGATTTGGATTCAAGGATTATGTCAAACACAAGAAAAGTATATGAATGTGTTTTCGTAGCTAACTTATTAGCTTGACTTGTGACTTGCTTGACCTGAGCAATGACTTAATTGTCTCACTCGATGTTTAGCAGAGACTCTACATGGCTTGTTTGATCCTCATCAGAGTAACTTGGGACTAACTTGAGACTTAAGGGTTAAGTATTAAGACTGATGCCTCTGTCAGCTAGTGGACTTAATGATTTCACACAATACCTGTCCATCAAATGTTTCCTGAAAGCATCTTCCAATGTGTCCGTTCTGACGGTTTTGTGATCTGGTGTGGCCATTCCCATTCCCATTCCCATTCCCATTCCCACTGGTGTGTGGCTGCCTGCTGCTTTGCTCATTGATGGGTTCATGTTCATTTCCAGGCTGGGAGCGCTGCTGGACAGAGTGAGCCCCATCTGTGGTCGCCGGTCTCTGCCCAGGCTGGACCCGAGCAACTTGGTGGATCTGGATTTCGGCATCTGGAGGGTGCTGAATGTGGACGTTCACCAAGGATGGGTGGAGAGACACTGGAAAAGGAGAGACCCGCAGTTTATACAATATAGAGGATAGTTTATAGTTTCAAATTTTGGATAGTGTAAGTGGAAGCATTGTCAGCCAAGGGATAAAACCTGTATATACATACTGCAGTTTGCGAGCTATCAGCTAACATCCTGCACAAACTTGTTCAACACACACTTAGCTTGCTTCATCACTGAGTTATGAGATCTACATGGGGAATTCCCGGCAATGAAGACACTATTAAGATACGGCGAAACAACAACAACACAAAGAGTTTTGGATTCTCTGGTTTAAATCAAATCATCTTAAAGACCGAAAACAGATTTGTTGAAGAGCCGAGAAGATGTTGCAATGCCGAGAATGAGCTCTTTTGTCCCTCTGACAGAGGGGAAGCATCTATCTTCAGGGAGTGCCAGGGTTTTTTCCCAGAATCCTGACCCACACTCATGAATCATAGTCGCGCAGTCAGACGGCAGGGAGAGTCCAAGGAGAAGAAATAGAACTTATCAAGAGTTCTGGACATGAAACAGAGTGTATATATAAACCATACAAACAGGACAGATTATTTCTTTGTGTGACATGACAATACACATACTGTACTCATGTCATTTAATTACCATTATTTAATTTAATTCAAAGTGAAGGATGGAATAGTGGAATTTAGATTATCTAAGACAAAGCTTCTGCTTCTACTTACTGTTCGAGCGAGATGCTGAGCAAGGAGGAAATAAAAAAAAAGAATATCAGAAGAAATGGAAAGTGAGTAAATATTCTACATTCAGTCTTACAGTATAACTTCATGATGTGGCCTTGCTCTGTTTCTAATAACCACCTCTGTTTGATAAAAGCAGCATTGTGTGAACAATATGAGGACTTCCACTGAGTCATCCATTATCTATTATGCTCAAAATAGAGTCTGACCTCCGCTGCTGGCCAGCATAGGCAGAGCACTACAGGGTGCTGAAAATCAAGGAGTAGTCTTAAAAAGCATGAACTGTGATAAGAAGGAGAAGTGGAGCAACTGGCAAAGCATAAAGGCCCCGTCACACCAGCCTTTAAAAAAGTGGAATTTCCCAGTAAAATTAATTTCCCTGGAATAGCTGCAATCAGGGGAATAAATCTTTTGTGACCAACCAATAGCAACTCGTCTTCACAGTGCTGACTTTTGGAGGAACGAAGAGCCAGAGAATCCAGAATGGAACAAGCTAGCGGTGATGCACCATTCCTTATTTAACCCTCCTCTGCTAGAGTATAAACAACTCTACAGAAGAGGAATGATTCACAGAACAGTCAACTTTCATTAACGAAAACTATAATGAAAAGTGTTCATCAACAACCTTTTTTTTCCATGACTAAGGCAAGACGTTCACGAGCTACAAACAGATCTTAAATAGTGAGAACTATGAGAATATATATGTTTTGTGTTCATTGACGAGACAAGATAGGACTAAAATGTTAGTGGTGGACTATCAGACATTCAAACTGGAATGGAATCGGAACTTTCCCTCCAATTGTGTGTCTAGTCTGTCTGTCAAAATAAAAGCAATGTCACTGCTTGAATTGTTTGAGGGATGTGTGCAGATTACCAACAATACAGGTGATGATGATCCAAACCAACAGCGAGTTAATGACAACAACATGATGGCTTCAACGCAAAAGAGGATTTAGTTGGGAAAAACAGAATGGATCTTTGGACACACTTTATTCATAATTTGAGAGACGTGAAAACACAATGCCCTGTGGCAGTGGGAGACGGAGAGATCCTTGTGGCCACAAATTAGGAAGGAAGATTACAACCAGCCTCAGGGGACACTTTAAAGAGCACCGACCTGCAATTTATGCCACAGTAAGTTAGCAATCTGTAACAGTGAAGGATAAGTCTTATTGTTAACTAAGCATATAAAGTTGACTAAAATATAATAACTTTTGTTGACTAAAACTGGACTAAAATCAAAGGATAATAATAATAATAAAACTAATGAGCATGTTGTTCTAAAGTCAAGACTAAATCTGAAAAAGCTGCCAAAATTATTATGAGACGGGAAGTGAGCTGGAGCTGAGGTTGACATTAATCAAGCATGTCAGTTGGAGAATATCTTTTTCCATCTTCAGTATGAAGGCTGTAAACAGATCAGTACAAATACAAAAGATATTGAGACTGACTAGCACTAGCACGTTAATAACTAGTGTGCCAGCTACGTTAACTATCCCTACAAGCGGTTCCAGTGAATTTTGCTGTTCTACTTCCTGGTATGAATGGACATTGGCCACAATGCTGGGGGATTACCTTGCTGATTAGACAGTGGTAGAGTGTACATAGAGTGGGAGGGAGATTTAGATCCCTGGGAGCTGACATCCTTGTTAGGGGCAGTTCTGGCAGGAGTCGGGGCTGGCAGGTGGCAAAACTTCCCTGTTGAGTTTGATGGACACCAGCACTGGTCCCTGCCGATACATCGCCCTCCATTAAGACAGGGTATCTGACAGAAATCTGCAGAGAGGATAAAGAGAGAAACACAGGGGCGGGGTGTGTCAGAGGTAAAGAGAAAAATATGAAGAGGTTTTAGAAGTGAAAGATTTGTTTGCGTACACAACACGCCACAATTAATTGCGCAGATTTATGCATCCTCATGCACAAGGATCCGTTAATGAGAAACAGAAGGGGTAGTCCTAATAGGAAGGGCATGTACCGAGGCTTCATGTGGACAGGCTTTGTTTGCAAACGGTTAGCAATGGTCATGCTGTTCTCTTTGGTCCAACCAGACACCAGTTTCAACTTTATCCTGAGGGTCCTGTGCCGCATCTCTTTCACTTGCATGTTTTGCCTCACATCAGTAATTACATACTCCTGTGCGTGGTGATGACTGGTGATTCATCCTGTTTTAAAACAAGTGCACGGACATCTGTATTGAACACTTGCCTGGCTGGCAGCAGGAAAACAATGCAAATTTCCCAAACTATCACATCTTGGAGAAAATTTCAAAGTAGGGCAACTGGCTCTGAACCATATACGTTGATTTATAGTTTGCAATTCACCATGTGGAGAGAAAGAGAGGAAAGGCCAGCACTGTCCAGATGGTGTCTGACATTACTGCTTTAACAGCCCTTTCACTGGCCTTATCTTTTGGCATACAGGATGGGTGCCAGCCCAGCACCCTACATACCTGGGCCTGCTCCCATCTACAGATTCGCTCTGATCTGACCTCCCCTAACTCAAAACATCAAAGACTATCAAATGAAAAAAATCTATCCAACCGTGACGAATAAGAAAAGCACCATTTTGGGGCACGAAGAATGAAAAAGTGAAGCACCTCTCAGGCTCAGCAGCACCACCGCACCGTGAATATGAGGACTGCTTTACAAGACAGCTGGAGATATGGATGGCCCATATACTATTGGATGAAAGAGAACGCTAGTGATGCAAACATGCCATGAGTTGCATCCTCTCTGTCTCAATGAGACAGACAGTAACACACTAATAGGGTGCAAACAGGGAACAGACAGACGCTGGAGAGTTTCTATGGCATGTAGGGAATGAGCTCCCTGTCACATAACATTAATAACATTGAGACTGCAGGATGAAGAGAGGGAGGGATGGAATAAGAATAGAAGAGTAACGGGGAATGAAAGGGATTATGAGAGGAGAATGTGAATAGATTGAAAACAGAAAAGAGACTGATGGAAAGAGAATGAGGAAATAAGTTGCACGAGAAATAAAGATGCGGAAAAAGAGAAAGGTCCAGCGTTGGTGTCCGCACACACAGGAAGGCCTCCTCTGATTAGACATGCTGGCTAAATTATCAGCTCAAGGAGGCTATTAAATCCTCTCAATGTGGGATGCAGGTCTGCGCTGCTCTGTTTCAAGCCAGTCCCACTCCGGCATGGGGCAGGAACTATTCTTAGACAACAACCTACTGTCGACTGCGCGCCACGCTCCCTGTCTGCCTATCTGTCTGTCCATTTAACAACCTCTAACAACCAAACACACGCACACACTTCTCACTCAATAAACAGACTTCTACTCAATCTAATATCAGGCTTTAAAGTAAGTGCTGTACACAGGGTGCGTATCAAGGGAGCCTGTTATAATTACCCAGCCAGATTTTACTGCACCGTGTAGGGAACATAACAACAGCATGAGATAACTGTTTGCTGTCCACTTGACATTCCTCGACGAACACGCACACCCCAAGCAATAACAGGATGCAAGCCTAAATGGCAACGCAATCTCTTTTTAACGCACTCTTTAACACATGCTTTTGTATAATGAAGGGAGATCTCTCGAGAATAAAAATGGGGGATAAAAACAAACCCGCTGCTCAGGAAGGCGTGGAGGTGCCAGGAATGTAATCTTGGGGAAGGCCTCTGCCAGGACGCTGAAGTGTTTGGAGTATCTACGCCATGTTCCAAAACCCCATTAATGGGCACATAAATCTGCAACATCAACCTGTTTATATATTCATAAGTCAGCTAGGTCCTCCCCAAAGAGCCTGGTGCACTTAAGTGAAAGTTGGTTGCATGTGTGAGTTTGTATTTATGTGACTGAAGAGGGCTTGTGTGTGTATGTGTGTGGTATGTGCACCCTCTAATCCACAAGTGGTAATTAGGCTGAGCCTTAGCTGGACCCTTAAAACTGATGAGAAAACTAAGAAACATGCCGGGGTACGACCCTACCCTTGGCATTGACCGCCCCTTCCCTTCCCATGGACACTCCTGTGTGAATTTGGAGCAAAGCCCCCCGGATAAATGGAAGGTTTAATGTAATCCCTATAAAATCCTGTTCATGCTGCTACTCTTTCTCCCTTTCTGCCTCTCCCTCTCCTCTTTCATTCATTCCTGCTCTCCCAGGGAGCACGTAAAATGGTTAACGGCGGGGCCAACCGCGAGGTGTAAACCGCAAAGAGATGGGGCTAAGTGTTGGGAGCGTGGGACCACCAGCTCCACGTGTGTGTGTGTGTGTGTGCGAGGGGGAGATTAGCCCCCTATTACAGAGCCCGCTTTTAATCTGGTCCACCCCCATCTCTCCCACTTTTCCCTGACTCTCTTTCTCTTTGACAGTGAGAGTTTTTAACGTAGCTCTCAGCTTTAATCTCCACCACTCTGCCTCCTCTTTGAGGCTGGTATTCAGAGCAGACAGCATGCCACTGGGAACCCATTTTGTCAAGCTCACCCCATAAAAAAGAAATAAGCAAGTAGGATGGAGACACAGGAAAAGTGTGTGAGAATCAGAGAAGTAAACAAGAGAGGCAGTGAAGGAGAGGAGAGGAGAGGAGAAGAAGAAGAAGGATGGCAAGCAGGCAAGAAAGGTAAGGGTTAATGATAATCGGAGGCCCAAAAGTTGACACTCACAGAGACGGAAGCCCTGGTTCTTTGGCTGCTGTTGCTGTTGCTGGTGCTGCTGCTGCGAGGTCTCACTGTAGACTGTTGTGATGTCTCCCTTCTCACAGTTGTTGTAGCAGTGCCCGTCGCTGCACACCCTGCGGCACACCATGGGTGTGAAGACGATCTTGATGCGGTCCAAATTGGAGGTGAGGTTGGCCCCTGGAAAACACACACACACCTGGGTGAGCGGGAGCAGTAGCAGAGACAGACTGGAGACGAGCTGCATCCTTCCTCCTTCAGCCTCACTGTGACACACTCCCCGTCTGGGCAAAGGGAGGTTTATAAGTGTGCGAGGGTGTGTGCTGACGGCTGGGCAGTGGCACGCTGCAGCTGAATGAGCGATGCGCCACACGCCAACAAATGGGGGAAAGAATACCATTAGGTATCAGGCTTGCCTCCAAGCCCTTTATCTTGGGGAGAAGGTGTTTTGGATGTGTGTATGTGTGAAGGAGACAAAAAAAAAAAAGAGAGCCTGAGTGCAAGTTAACATTGTGTAATGGTGGGAAGCAGTTCAACAGCCGTTGCTGTGGTACAGGACTAAAAAACAAGAGAAGCCTGAACAGCAGACAGCTGTGTATGCTGGATGGTGGATCAGAGGAAGATGAAGTAGTGAAGGGAGAATAAAAAATTAGGAAAGACAAGATCACATTTCTTTTTGTTGTGGGTAGAGGCGCCAGGGTTCAGTGCCTGTCATGTCGGAGAGGTGACAGGGCAGATTCCCAAAGATATCAAAGCATCAACACACAAGAATACACACACACACTCCCCTCCAGCGGATTGTGGGCCAGCAGAGCACACACACACACACACACACACACACACACACACACACACGCTTACATAGTATATGCAGCTTTCATATCAAACGTCTGTCTGTCTGGTGTGATGCAGACCACAGAGGGGGGTGGGGTGGTTGGACAGTGGAAGAAGGGAAGTGAAGCCTGGGAAGCTGCCAATTTTTTTTCCTGTGGCTAATGTTCCATTCAACGATGACACCATACATGTGTATGTATGTCTGTGAATTGAGCCATAATAGGTCGTGTTTGTTTTGACGTGGCTAAGGAGAGTGGAAATGTTAAGTATGCATGTAAAGTGAGACCAGATCCAAGTTTTATGATATTCTTTTTACAGTGTGTAATAGATACGTTTTTAGTTCTTACCTGGGGGTAATAATGCATTGTTGTACTGGCCGTGCAGCTGGCTGTCGCTGGTAGGCCTGTGGGTGTTATAGCCATGCCCGTTCCTGTATCCATGCCAGTTCCTGTGTTCACTGCTGTGTCCGTTTGCGTAGCCATTGCCACTGGGTAGAGCGTTGGAGGTTATAGGCCCAGAGGATGATGGATATCGTTTCACAGTGCGGGAGGTCCCAGTCTGCTGAGGGGAGGAGTCAGGGGGTCCCCGTCTCACTTGGGTCCTGTCACATCATCACAAGACCATAAACATATGACCTCAGCCAAACGTTAATGTCCCACACACGTACACACTCACACTGAAACACCCATCAGCAATGTACGTGCATCACCGTGAAATCCATTTAAGCGTGGTCAGTGTGTGAAGCAGAAAATAATATTCCTGCGAGACAAACATGCTGTCTTAGGTCATAGCTTTGCTTAATTGATTTTATAGATGAGACGCAATGATTTGGAAATAATTTTGTTTTAATCAAATTAATAATACCATATCATTCTTTAAGCACAAAGGGTTTCTCAACTAACATCTGCTGTAAGCCACAGAGCCGTGACCCTTTGCTAATTAATGAAAAGATTCTGTTTGACATTAAAGACATTTTGCAAGAGAAGATTTTTCATCACTGATTAACCAAAAAATAAAGGATCAGGCAACCAAAGGGAATAAGACTCACAGGTTTCAGTTTGTGTGTGCGTCTGTGTGTGGTTGGCCTCAGAGAAAAGTGTGTGATTAAACACATTAGATCTTTCCATCAGGACTACTAAACCTTTCCATCACCCATTGTGTCTGCTTGACTAGATTATGAACTCCCTGTTCTGTCTGACTGTGGCCAACCAGGGAGCAACATCCTGCACGCTGCACCGGGCTGGAGGAAGTATTAAAACTAGGGTCAAGAACAAAGCTCGTCCAGGGCTGCGAGGGGCACGTTTTTTACCGGTGAGCATTTGATTTGGGTCAATTACTGAGAGCTGTGTTGCGCGACCTGGAAGCTGAGCTCATGTGAGCGACCTGGGGGAGGCGCGTGCCACTCAGACAGACAGGCAGACGTTCCTACCTTGGCTCTGGGGGTGTAAGAAAAGCTCGGGGAGTGCTGGGATTCAGCCCTGCGAAAAACATCTGGATCCCACTGATCAGCCCAGACAGACAGTCAGCAGAGCAAGACAAAGATGAACTGTGCCGGATAGATCAGAAGAACAGCTCTACAAAGCACACCTGTGGCCCTGTAAGGTAATTGGGGTGTAATCAAACCCCAAATGAGGATATAAACCATGCATTAACATTTATTACATGTGGTTTTTAGCCACACACCACGTATTTACACACTGAATGAGCTCTTTGGACCCACAGACGATAATCAGACAAATAAACACATGTGCGCGCTGCACAAAAATGCATACGTGTACACACACATGCTTGCACACACACATACACACCCTGTCCCAGCTGTGCTAGATGTAGCACAAGCCAATGCATGCCTCTTTATTCAGAAACCACATTCCTGCTGCCAAGGGAACGGGACACTAAACGAAAAGGGAGACAAACATATGATAATGGTCTCTCACGTCATCTTTTTCGAAAGACAACAGGCAGCACCTATAGCTGACAGCTGCTGACCCAGATCCTGAATCTCCAAGGCGGGGCCCGGAGATAGGATGTGACACGGGGAAACAAGAGGTTCTGGTGTCAAGGTAGTGAGGACTTACAGGAGGTGGCTGACCCAGCTACACCGTCCACTCCAGATTATGAGTGGGTTTTTCCATCGCTAACTGTGACACCTGGCCTGCAACCATCCTGCCTCACTTCCTCGGCTCAGCCAGATGTTGCTCTTTCTGTCTCTCTCACTTTCAATGGCAAAGTGACTTCCTCCCATCATGAGCTCACCGCTGCCCTCTCTGCCTGCAGATCAGAGGCCGGCGAGGGCAAGCACGACTCACTCTGCATGTTTGATGTCATCATTAGGAACTTCAAGGCCCCGGCGATCCAAGGAGGAACCATTCCCCCGCCATGTTCTGGGTGACTTGAAAGCAATTTTGAAGACCTCTGCCAAGATTGCATGGAACATGGTTTGAACAGACAGATGGGGAAAATGTTTTGGATATCAAATGATGGCCATACAGCTTTAATTAAATCTCTGATGGTGCTGATAGGAGAGCTGCTGAATGAGCATATGGTCCAAAGACAGAAATGAGAAAAAGAAAAATGATTGGAAAAATATATTGAATTTATTCTGCTAACATAGTTTATATATTTTAAAGTTGTGAGTTTAGTGGTCCTTATTACTATGAAGTTATTATTGTTGGACTTAAGCAATATTACATGAGAGTTTTACCTCAAATAATGATGGTAAAGCTCACCCACGATTGAAATATTGCAATACAACAGTTACAGACAAAATAAAAGATAACATGTATAAATGTACAAGTATACAAGATAAATGTATTCATATTATGGGGCAATTTTCTTCCAAAATAAAACTCTTTTCGCTAGTGTTATCTCCCTTTCCATGGAAATGTGTGGGGTCTGTACAGCAGCCAAAACAACACTGATGTTATACTCAAAGTTGTGTTTTCTGAAATGTTGTGTTTGGAACACAGACAAATAATGGACGTAGCTACTGTGACGTCACCCATTCGTTGGTTTGTGGGCTCCCATTTTGAGGCCTCGAGTTTGGCATTACTGTCGTCGCCATCTTGGATTTTTGGAGCCAGAAGTGACCATATTTGGATTAAAAAAGTCTGGCACTGTGCAGGAGGAAGGGGTGGATCTGACTAAGAAGCCAAGAACAGTAGCAACAGACAGCCTGTCACTCAAAATGGCCAGCCCTTAATTATGCATAACTTTAAGCCTTAATAAAATGTAAACAAGTATGTTTTGTATAAATCCACCCCTATACAGTTGTCATGAAGAGGGAAATTAGGTATAGAAACCAAAACTGTTTTTGTACCAGATTATGAACATGTTTATTTCTGCTGTTAAGTTGGGCATGTTAACACTGGGGGTTAATGGGGATTGACTCACTTCTGGAGCCAGCCTCAAGTGGCTGTTCAAAGAACTGCAGCTTTTGGCACTTCTGCGCTGGCTTCATTTTTCAGCCCTGGAGGTTGGCACTCGGTTTCAGTCACACCATCAGACACACACATGTAATGAAACCTACTTAACTATTCTAGCAAGTAGGCCAAATCTCAGTTACTACCTAACAACTGAGACAATTTCTAGTAACTGTTGAGTCAGCCAGCCAACTTGAGCTACTGCTAATGCTTTGTGGGGTTTACCAAACTAAATATATACCGTACACATAAAGACAAAATGGCTTTGTTTGCTCAGTATCTCTTTGTTGTATAATCTTCTATTAGCATCAGCAAAGAAAGATAGTATGACAGACAGATAGACATCATGTCAAATTACTGAGGCCAAATCATTCAGACACTGATTACATTAGGGAGAGTCAGATTGTATATGGCGTGAGGTTTAACTGGGTGTATTTCATGTATCATTTCGTGTTGAGAACATTTCCTCAATAATTACATTCAAAGAGAAACAATCAGTCCTTAAACTCTAATAAGTCCAAACACTTGATCAAAGCATCAGTTTATATCTGATAGCAACAGAGGCCTCTAACTGAGACATAAAGCCATTGGCGCTGTCCAACTCCACTCATCATCACTCACTTCTTATGTATGAAAAGCAATTAAAACCAAACCTCATCACATTTGAGGAAATTACAAATCACAACGATGGCCAAGAGTCCACACTGCGCATGAAATAACTGTATAGCTTCCAGTGAGTTGCGAAAGTATTATCTGGCGCTCAGTCGGTACTTATCTTTGAAGTCGTCGCTGCATTACGACATGTGAATATTAGTTCTCATGAAGGCATGACAGGCAGCATGAATGGCAGTTCCAGCCGCGCCCCTTGACCCAGATGAGTTGGAGAGGAGGTAGTTCTGGAGCTCAAACAGCACAGAGTCAAGCCAGGACCAAGAACTGGAGGACAGTCAAAAAGGCTGCAAACCCTCTGATCTCTGAGCTTCTGCTGATGCTGTACATAAAAACCAAAGAATTACACTGCCAAGCAAAATGCTAGGTGTACTTTGAAGTTTTGATGAGAGTGCGTTTGGGGGGGTTACATAGAGAAATTCGGTTAAGTGGCTTTTTTTAAGTGCCAGGAAACCTCCGTAGTGGGGGCCTGGAAAACACTACTTCCCATCATCCCAGTGGTGACTGTTGTTTCTGTGAGTTGCCCACTGGGAAACAGGAGCCTCCAAAAAGAAATTCTGGATTTATCTTATAATCTGTTCACCCAAAATATTCACACACACATAAACGTAGTGACCCAGATCTTCAGGAATTGTTTACATCTTAAACCATCTCCGTAGCCCACTCTGCATGACTAGGCCAGAACAGTGTTTATGTGAAGCATTGCACAGTAACGTATGGGCCACAGCTGATTCATTCACTAACAGTTCAGTCTCGGAGGTGCTTTCATTATCTTCTCTCTCTATAAATCTCTATGTGAAATAAAGCATACTTGTCAGACACAACTAATGTATTTCAGACAGAGAACCTAGTTTCTCTGGGCTGAGGATGCCAAGTAGGTTGGAGAGGACTGCGATATTAAATGGTTTTTCACCAGCCCTCGCAGCACTTCAAGCCCAGCACAAGTCTACCTTGGCAAAGCTCATTTTTCATTTTGATTTGTTTGAGAATACCAAAGTCCGAACCCACATCTAATGGCTCAGATTGTTGGCTTATAGCAGCTAATGCAGAAAATAGACTGATATGAAGAGCTCGTCTGGTTGTTAGATGGAGCCATTTGGCTTTGAGCAGACTGTCTAAACAAGACAGTCTGACAGCAGGCAGAGGTGTCTGGCATGAGCATCGCAGTCTGGGTCACACCACACAACCCGATAGCTCCCAGCCTTGTCACTTTGTCCCGTCTCAGTTCTCTTTGTGTTGGACTGGACTTGACCTTCAGAGTGACGAGTGGCAAACCTCTGGAACCATCAGCGGGTTTATGACCAATCAACACAAGAGTCGCTCTATCCTGCCGAGGAAAATCAAGTCATTATTCTTTTTATTTAAACAAAATGTTTAATGGTTCCATTTACCTCTTTCCAACGTAGAGCGTCAGCCAAAAACCCCCTATTACATAAGAACCACACATAATTGGGGCAATTTAAGGGCTACTTGGTAAATGGGAAAGTAAATGACGGTCATCAAAGGCCAA